CGAACGGTGGGGCCGCTCGTCCCTGCGGCTTCGGTCGCGCACGGGGCGCGGGGCCCGGCTACAGGTAGAAAATAGATGTCAGGGTGGAGGCCTGCGACCGGCAGGGGTGGGAGGGAATGGGGGCACGTGACATGGAGATGGTTGGTGTTTGAGATCATAAACGGGTTCTTTTGCCCTTCTGCCGTCGTTCCCCATTCCTAAAGACCAGACCCTGAACTCATATTGTTCGTATTGTGGCCAAAAAAATATATCATTAAGACGCATTTTAAGGTTTAGTGCTAAAATGGCCAAAATGGTCAAAAAACAATTGCCAGCTGCTGTGAGTTTTTAGGAGCAACCGGAGAGGGGTGTGTGTGGAGAGAGAGAGAGAGAGAGAAGAAACGCTGACTTCTCTAGGGTTTGTGTGTGTCTAGGTTACTCAGAACCGAGCTTTGCCCCGTGGGCCAGACAAAAGGAAGTGGACCATCTCAGCTCATGCAAAGTTCCTCTGTTGAAAGTGTCTCTCCCTTTTTTGTGCTAATCCACATTTTCTCCCCCACTTAGGGTTCCCAAGGTTGAAGCCATTGGAGAGGGGTGTGGCTGTTGAAAACCCTCCCATTCTGAATTCCCACAGAGTTTATAACAACAGCAGGGGCCACATTGTCTTGTATGACCCAGCAGCTCAAACTGTCCTCGGACTGCATCAGTTCGCCTTGCCAGACTGAAAGGTCCTTGACACCAAAGACCAACTTTCTGGCTTCCTTTATACCCTTTACAATAGCTTTATTTCATAGATTGGGCAAATGGGAGAGAAGATAAAGTGGCGTGGCTGAGAACGCACAGATGATCCACCGGAACCAAACATGGCAATAATGAGTGACATTCATTTCCAGCTCGCGTGGGCTGGAGCTGGGAAGCAAGGGAGACCTCACCTCCCATGCAGAATTTAAGGAGCGCCGAAAAAACTCAGTAATCAAGATGAGTAATATTTTAATGCAGTATTTAAAAATTAATGCGGCCCTAGCCGGTTTGGCTCAGTGGATATAGAGCATCAGCCTGCAGACTGAAGGGTCCCAGGTTCGATTCTGGTCAAGGGCACATGCCTGGGTTTCGGGCTCAATCCCCAGTGGGGAGTGTGCAGGAGGCAGCCAATCAATGATTCTCTCTCTCATCATTGATGTCTCTATCTCTCTCTCCCTCTCCCTTCCTCTCTGAAATCAATAAAAAATATGTTAAAAATTAATGCAAAAAAATCCATGATGAACAAAATGTCAAGATTGTAAATAAGATAATGTGTTAGTCTGATGACCCTGTTGTTATTGTGCAATGGAACAGTGGTTACCAATCAGCCCAGGGTTCCCGGGCCTGTGTAGCCCTCAGGCCCCCACCAGGTGATGTGCACAGGTGACTGTGGCAACACTGGCTTTAGATGGAGTTGTGATTTTTAGTCTTAGAGCTTTAATTAGCTTTTTACCCTCGGTTCAAAATAAGTGCGTATTTGCTAAGTGAACACAGGGGTGACATTTCCCTTATCTTTGTTTCCGTATGAGTCTTCACAGCATTTCAATTTATAAAGAACTTTAGTACATATCATTTCATGTAATTCTCAAATAAACAAAAAATCCTGATTTTTTTGGTGGTGGTGTTACCCTCATTTTAGAAAAAAAGAAACTAGGCCTCGGATTAAGGTCCTAACCCAGCAGTATCAAGCCGGGCAGTGACGGAGCTGGGCTTCTGACCACCCGTGACCCAGATCCCACCGCGAGCTGCCTCGCCAGATTGCTTCCTACTCTCTACCCAACCCTCTGTCTCCGCCTTCTCAGCTCTGTGCTCTCATGTCTCTCTGCCATTCTCCCAGGGGGTTGTGGATGTGCTTGTGTGAGTAAGTGTGTACAGTGACATGTGTGTTTGCTTGTGTGAGTGTGTACACATATGGGCGTGCACGTGTGTGTTCAGAGCATGAGGACACGTGACACAGAACAGAAAATGCGGGAAGGAGGGCTGCGGGTGCTGCGGTAAGGCAGAGCACCCCTCTGACTTTCTTGGGCTCAGGATGGCATGTGGGAGAGCTAGCACAGCCCTGCGAGCTGCGTGGAATGACCCCAACCTCCATCCCCAGGAGCTATTGCCAGGTCAGTGGCAGGCCACCGCCGCTTTTGTTGAACAATATGCCATTGTATATATACACCGTATTTCAATGTGCCAGTGTGTGTGTGTGTGTGTGTATATATATATATACAATATATATGTATATTGTATATATATATATACACACGCTCAACCTTGATGAACATCTAGGTTAGAGTTTTTATCATAAATGGTGGTTGAATTTTGTTAACCAATGTCACCTCAAAAAGTTCAATTAAAACATTGCATCTGGCAATGAAAAGGTCATCTTTGATGGCTCAAGGATTTCCAGTAAATGATAGGGGCGTGACCTTGACCGCAATGGCTCAATGGGGAGTGGGCGTTGAGGAAGTGGAGGCGGGGAAAGAGCAGGTGAAGGGAAGAAGAGATCTCAGGCAGCGGCTTAGAGGAGACAGCATGCTCTTCAGCAAAGGGAGTCATCTCTCCTGAAGTCCTCTGTAAATCTCACCTGCTGGTCGCGTGGGTGTTTGGACAATAGAAGTTCCTTTTCCATCTGTGCATGTATATTATGTACTGCCCGCCTTGTTCCAGAAGACTCCGTTGGCTCGGGTTCCGGTCTGCCACGGACCACCTAGACTCAGCCTCCCTTACACGACTGTAGAGGACACAGGTCTGTACGTAAACTGCCGGTTTCCAGAGCTGACGTAGGCTATCGGAGCACAGAAGCAAGGGCGATTGGAACGGGAACACGCAGACACCATCTTTCCCTCCTGGGGGAGCATAACTCAGCAGGTGCAGTCTTAGGGCTCAGCTGCTCCTACAGGCCTGTTAGCCAGCTCAAGTCCTGCCCCAGCCTTAGGTCGCTGACAAGCCTCACATGTGCGGGTTAATGCTATGTCCTGGCTGTGTGGGCCTCTCCCTCCTGCTGCCCCAGTCCCTGGTGAGGGTCCCTGACAAGCTGAGAGACCGCATCCCCCAGGCATGCCTCACTGTGCCTCTTTTTTTTAATTTAAAAAGTCATTTAGTTACTTTTATTCCACCCATTTCTCCTGCTCTCCCACCCGCTTCCTCTGGCAACCACCAGACTGTGGAGACCACCACTGTGTCTGGCTGCAGGAGTTTGCGGCCTTGATGTCCCATGACTATTTTAACCTCAGCTGTCCTGTTTAGGGGTCTGAAGAGAATGCTGTGTCACCTCAGCCGGCCCCAGGCCTCTTGAACAAACTCTACCTTTTAGAGCTTTTTTTACCCAGGGGACGTCCAGATTTATAGCCAAGAAGCCCCCTTCCTTCAAAGGTCTGCTGAGACTTTAGCTTTGATTTAAAAAAATATATGTATTTTTATTGATTTCAGAGAAGAAGGGAGAGGGAGAGATAGAAACATCAATGATGAGAGAGAATCATTGATTGGCTGCTTCCTGCACACCCCCTATTGAGGATTGAGCCTGCAACCCAGGCATGTGCCCTTAACCAGAATCGAACCTGGGACCCTTCAGTCCACAGGCCGACGCTCTATCCACTGAGCCAAACCAGATAGGGCTAGCTTTGCTTTTAAAATGCCTTCTCAGGGCCTTCATTTCCTCGTTATCAAAATTAGAGATATTATATAAACACTCTCAAGGTCTAGGATTCAGTATTACTCAGGTTGGAGTACCTTAACAAAATACCGCAGGCTGGGTGGCTTAAACAACAGAAATTTATTTCCTCACAGTTCTAGAGGCTACAAGTCTGAAATAAGGTCCAGCATGGTCAGCTCCGGGTGAGGGCTCTCTTTCTGGCTTGTAGGTGGCCGCCTTCTCTCTGCGTCTTCACATGGCTGAGTGCTGGTGCCTCTTCTCATAAGGGCAAAGCCCTATTGACCTCACTTACCCTTTGTCACCTTCTCACATGCCTCATCTTCAAATACAGTCACATGGGGGGTTAGGGTTTTAACGTAAGAATTTTAGGGGGACACAGCATTCAGTCCCTAACAGATGCTATGGTTGTTCTGAGGAAGAAATGGAGAGGTAGGATTTTTATATTTCCAATAGGGTGGGGCAGACGGGAGGGCGGGGGTTAGGGGAAGGTTGGCCACACCTGCTGAATGAGGGGAGAACTTGGGACTGAGGATGTGCACTTCTATTAAAAGTGGTTATCCTCTCTCCAGACTACTTTGTCACTCTCCGTGGATAGAAGAGAAGCCAAGACTCCAGGTGTAGAGGGCGGGGCTGGGAGCCAGGGCTGGACCTGCCCCTGCGTGCCCAGGAAGGTCTGTGGATACTACTGGGGACCATACTGGCCAACTAAACATGATTGAGAAGAGTTAGTGCT